ATATCCATATTTGGACTGCATCTGAACCATATCTGAAAGATATACTTAATGAGTATCATAATTACATCCATATCTGGATCGTATTTGAACTGTATCTGGAAGAGAAATTTGGAATGAGTGCCAGAATGAATTTGTGTCTTGATTGTATTTGTACTGTATCTAGAAGAGAAATATAGAATAAGTTCCAGAGTTAATCTGTGTCTTGATTGTATCTGCACTGTATCTAGAAGATGATAAACTGTTTGGGGAAATAAACCCTATTGATGGAGAAGTACTCTTGCTGAGGAAACACCCTTGTTAAGGAAATGAACTCTGTTGGAGAGCAGAAGTTTGAAGGGGGTTTTACAACTCCATGAAGTGTACTGATTGAAACTCCGTAGGTTGGTGATATTGTCAGGAAGAAGATCTTACTCCTTTATCCGCCAGAGCGATCTAACGGGGAAATTGTGGGGAATGTATGACTTTGTGAAGATTACTTTGTGGAGATAATCTCATGGGATTTGCTCTGTGGGGGTCCGTGGAGACTTGAACATACCTCAAGTTCTAGAGCCCTTGTTGAATGCTGATCAGGGTAATAAGTCTTCTACTAGTAGACAAGTGACGAGATGACGGGACATAGTCATACGCTTTAATCCCTAACTTTTTCTTGGACTGTCCTTTAAGATTTTTAGTCCATCGGGATACGCTTTTTTGCCCAAGATGTCTTTTCAGATTTTCGACTTGTCGGGTGTACATTTTATTTATATATCCCTAATTTTTGCCCAAACTCTTTTGGTTCGCCAGGATACCCTTATTTTTACCTAGGCCAGTCAACCTAGCGGGTCTTTTTTTTCATGCGTAGTATTTTCCGACTATGTTCATGTTCACAGGGGTGCAAAGAATTATTACTATCCATAGTAGTAAGTGTTGTAACAGTGCCAAAAAATGTTTGCTTGATCCTACGTGGCCCTTTTCTGGAACTCATGTTCAATGCCCCAAGTGATTCAAATGGAGGCCTGCCCCTGGCTATTCGACACTTTTTGAGAAATTCCTTGAATATTAAATCGACCTCCCCCAGATCAGTTGGACATCATGCCATGCCCCTTGATTATGAAAGGCCTGTTATTGGAAATGTCTTTCCATCTGAAGTGATTATGTTCATTGAAAGGATTTATATTCATTGAATATATGTTGTGCGAATTTCTCTGCTCTTGAACAATTAGTCATATGCAAATAATGGAACTTTTTAAAAATGCAAAGCTTATGTCTGTCTTGAGGTTTTGAAAATTCATTTTTTGTAAACAAACTGAATTTTGTAAGAATATGAATTTAACCTAGGATTTATAGTAAACCTCACAGGAGTCAGGATACTTTTTTGTAACAGTATGCTCTGGAACTAACCCATGCTTCAGCTAGGACTTTTAAGGGTTGTAGCGTGGCCTGGTTCACGGTTCAAGAAACAAAGGATAAAGGCTCAAACTTTATGTGTACCCAACCCATTCTTCATGATATTCTTCAGTCCTATACTCAGTTAATTGTGCATTTAGATCCCTATTGAGTCTGGAATATTTTCCTTGATATTTCGGTGATGGTTCAAATACTGAAAGTTTATTTGAGAAGGCAGTTATTATTTTTTTTGTAATATTTTTATTAAGAATTTGTACCGACCTCTTTTTTAATTATATTATCCCTACCTTTTTCCTGAATTGTTTCTTTTGTGATTACAGTCAGCGGGATGCCCCTGTTTTTTTAGTCTCCTTCATAGGTTTTGACTTAACGGGCTTTTCTTTTAGGAGATAATGAATGCCTGACTTTTTCTTTTGATTTCGGGAACCATCACGAGTTTTTTGATTTGGAAGAGCATCTTCGACACTATTCGTTGTGTACGCAGGAAAAGGTTGTGATTGAATGCACCATTGAATTAACTGAGAAACTACCCTTCCCCAGGTTATGATTAAGGGATTTAATTTGTGTGAAAAAGAAAAACTCCTACTTCTTAGGCTCAAAGGGGTTGACTAGGGACTATCTTCCTTATATCTCCACTGTTTTAGATTTGAAAGAACGCCTGTACATCGTCAGCAAGGTCTGTTCAAAAGCATACTGTAGAGATTATGGTATCATTTTCGTCATGCTCCCTCTAAAGGCTTATAGCTTTTAATCGAGATTTGAATATCATAAAAAGGAAGTAAAAGCACAATTTAAGTATAGTGAAAATGAATGGATTAATTCAAGACCAACATATGCAATGCATTAATGGAAAAATACATAGTTTGATATAAAGATAAGTGTTCGAACAAACAAAAGAAATTACAATTGAAAAAATCCAAATGATCTGGACATTCTCCATCCTAAACATGATTTGGCATGGGAGCAGTAATCACGTTAGGAGTCTCAAGAGGGCCAAACTCAATCTCCTTAGCATCAATCAAATCTTGAATCTTGTTCTTCAACGCCCAACAGTCATTCATATCATGTCCAAGACTATTGGAATGGTATTCACCTATTGCATTAGGATGATAGCTATGAGCGGAGGTATTGGGATTCCGAAGAGGATCCCTCAATGTAATCAACTCTATATTTAACATGTGTTGACATGCTTGAGCCAAAGACATGTTGATTTTGGTAAATTATCTATTGGGTGTGTCTTGTTTACGCTGATTTCCTTGTTATTACTGTTGCACTGGTACTTGATTAGAGGTCTGCACCGCCCCCACAGATTAGCTGAGATCACTCTTATTATGATCCTTTTGGTTATACATAATACTGTACTCCTTCTTTCCGTTGTATGATCTCTTCTGAGTACTTGAAGATGCAGTCCCCTGAATTTCACTACGTCTGAGTTTATTTTCAACATGTTCCCGCATGAACATGTCACCCGATTTCCCGTATTGCAAGAGAGATTGATCGTTGATTAGGCCCCAAATTCTAGCAGTTTGCCCCAGACGATCGTATATGTCCTGATGAAGCTTACTAATGAGAATCCTCAACTCTTCTGGTCCCCGAGCTAAATTTTGGATAAGAGCCATCTGACTATTAATCTAGATTCTCATCCTTTCCATCTCAGCTTGCAGTTGTTCCAACTAGTCATCCTTGTTGTCATCTAAATTTTTCTTGGTCAAGTTCCCAGTAAGGAGTGCTTTCAATTCTTCTTTCCCCTTGGATAGATTTAGGAACATTTCCTTGAACTAAGCATCTTGAGTTTGGAGATTGCTTTCGTTCTGTTTGAGAGCTATTTTCCCTGCTGAAATAAACAGCGAGAAAATGAGAAATTTGTCTTCATAATGCCTATTATCTAATGATATTCATGCAATGTTTTCAAGGATTCCGCGGGGGAAACACAATAAAATGTTAGCAATTGAATTTGATTGTAGATTCGATTGAAGAACTTGGTATCTTTGAATGTCCTTTTACGAGAATCAAGCATACCATGTCGAGTGGGTTATAGCCACTGACTCAAGACATCATGCTTTAACGACATTGGCTAGAGGAAAATAAATCCCCTTGTTCCTTGCTATATGTCTGGTTCATCGTAACCTGCATCACAGGCCCTTTGAGATCCTTGAAATTGTTAACAAAATTTTATGGCATGATGTCATGATGTGTATGTTATGTACCAAGCAAAACTGTAAGGTGACGTAAACAAGTAAATCTTGCAATAAATCCAGGTTATTAGATAATGGATACAAATAGTTCCTGCAAGGAACTCACGTCGTTAGGTAATGAAAATAAACAAGCCCTGCAAGGAGTTTAAGTTGTTAGATAATGAAAGCAAACAAGTCACACAAGTAGCCTTAGGTTCAGGCTTGCATGGAGCTTGTAGGTAAGTACCCTCTTGAAGTTTTAGTTGGCTCAACCTATCCTAAAAGAAGTAACCGGGTTCTAAGGAATCTCAATATCACTGATATTTCTTCACCGGGCATTTTTTCAACTCAAGCATCGAAATACTGCGGCTGAAATATCCTGAAAGTCCAATCTCAATGAGTGTAGCATCGAGTATCAACCAATTTTCGGTCGGAACTAAATCCGGCTATCTCACTACTTTCTAATGGCTAGGATGAGTCAATTAAAGGTTCTAAAGGCCAGTTAGCGCTTAATGACACTATGAGGAAGCCTAATGTTATCCTTGACAAACTCAAGGAACATTACTACAAGCTAGAGTATCACACTAACGTAGCCATCACTTCGTCCATATCGGTCTATGTCGTACAACCTCCATGATTCATTGTTACTTACCTAAAAAGGTGACCCAGATCTGAGTATAGGATCTTTAACAATAACCCCAACAAACCCTTTAAAAATAAAGCAGACAAAGCAAACAAGGAAAGCAATTTAAAATGATCTAACTCTAAGGTAACCCCACTTTTATAATTCCCCAGCAGAGTCGCTAGTTCTGTAATACGGCGGCAGAACCGACTGTTATACTGGTTTTTCATTTTTTATTCGCAAATGGTACGGTAAGCAAGAGTCGCCATTGACTTTTCTTTTATCCAACAAGGAAAAGGGTGAAAAGAACAGAAAAAGACCTATTTCTGAGTAAGGGGGTAGATTATAGAAAGAGAATGTGTTAGCACCCTTTCCATCCATAGTTATCTATGGGCTCTTAGATGCTAGCTCATTTGAAAATACCTTGTGTTTGTGTATTTGAAAAAAAAGTATTTTGAAAAGACGCCTCAGTGCGGCGAACTTTGTAATGTTTCTCGTATTGTTGAGAACGTATACAAAGTGTTTTTGAAAATATTTTTGGAAAGGAGTATAGGTGTGGAAAATGTTTTGTTTTGAACAAGCCATCTAAGAACTATCTACCTACTCGAAAAAGTTTGTTCATTTTCTCTTTTCCTTTAGACAGTTCTCACTACAAAAAAAATTCAATTTTGTGACCCATGATTTAAGATGGGTACTCAAAAACTGCCCTTAACTAAAGTTAACGGCGGGTCTTACGATAGTTTTCCTTAATAGCCACAATGTTTTAAATACAATATAGTTACTCAATATATGTTCTATATGGTGGAACAGGCCAGCACATGGCTGCGACGGTTGTAGATCTGTCTCTGCTTCATCTTTGCAGCAATTCTAAATCTGCCTCCGCTTCATCTTCACGACGGTTAGCTCGACCACTCTCACTCAATTTCATCAAATCTAAAAGAACCCTTTGTTAATTTTTATCTTTAGCACTTCTTTTTAATTTTACCCCAAAATCTGAAAAACCCTATGTTTATCTTGTGCATTTTTGATGCGTTTTCCCTCTCTCCTCAAAATGTAAATATGAATCAGAACCCTTCGATTCCTCAAATCTTAAAACCCTAAATTATATCTCTAATCTCCCGTGAATTAATTCATCCAATATCTCTTGAACTTGATTCACACCAATATCTCTTAAATAATTGGCACCAAACTGTTTGCAAATTGAAAATAGAAGTTTTCTATTTTAACTTTCCTTCTTTATAATTTTTATATGTGTTCATGTATGGTTTGGAGCTAACACATTTGCAACACTTAGATTGGCCAGTCTTTCTAAGAACAAAGTAAAACTGATCATGGTAAGGACAATTTTCCTTAAAACAGTATAAAGCAAATTGTGTAAGGTTAAGTATCATTCATCAATCTCATAATGCGTACAATGAAACTTTTCTCTTTTCATCAAAACGTATATGATATACGATAAAAATATGCTTAGCGTTGTGATTTTAGGCATAAAACTTCTCTCTTTTTGTTGCTAATGCTGTACAAATTTCTGGTGACTTAAATTTTGAATTGTTCATCTAAGTTTCGTAGAATGATACATGTCATTTATCTAGTTCCAAGACCTTTTACATGTTAAGATATTAAATAACTAAATTTTTTGTGTCACTATAATTTGTATAGCAAGAGAAAGATGCATCCATTAATAAGTTAAGAAAGAACTTGGTCATTAAAGCATAACCGGTACCAAGTTTCTACTATGAGGTTTTCTATAAATATGTAAGAGGTAAGTCATTTACAATTATGCGTATAAGTTAGACTTGGTAGCCTATGTTGGGATAAATAATTCTCTACTGTGGGTAATCTATGTGAGACATTTGATTACAATACTTTTCCATTCTCTGCACACCACCTTTGAACCCTTGCAAACCACTTTGCGGCTGATTCTCCTTGACACTCTTGCACCGATTTGTCGTGTCGACACTGAAGTGTAGGTTTCTATGTCTTTATGCATACATTTCACTTTGTTGTGGTTGATATTGATCTAATGAGAAGTTTTATGTTCAATATTAACATGAGAGATTTGATTTTTTTTACATAAATTACTCTAACGATATTGTCATGTTCTGGATATTATGTTAAGTTTCTAATTCCTTTATTCCATGATCGCTTAAGTTTTCATAATCTATTGGGTTATGGATGCGAAAGAAGGGGATCTTTCATTTGTTTTTAATTCTTCTTTCTCAACTCAAGATGGGTTTGGCTTCCATTTTCAATTCTTAGTGTTTTCTTATCACTAATTAATTAATTAATTAATTATGATTTTAATTTTAGTGGATGTAAGACTGAAAACAAAACTCAAGCCATAATTTATTTGTTTACTAACTTTAACTAACTTGGATGTTCATATCTTCTTCACTTTTATAGATACATATTGGAGCAAAGTCTCTCAGTGGATAATTTCTTTATTTTTGTTCTAATATTCAAATACTTCAAAGTTCCAACATTGTATCAGGTAATGCATAAACCTTATTGTCAACGGTAAACTTTGAGCAGTTTAAATTTTTATGTTATTTTAATAAGTTATTATTAGTACTTCATATTGTACTAGATCAAATTCAAATAATTGAATAGTTTGCTTCCACTTCTTATTGAAGTTACAAAATGGTGTACTTTCCTATGGTATTGCTGGTGTGGTTGTTTTTCGCTTGACAATAATACTTCTTGGAACAACCACCATTCAGGAGTGTTTTCAAGTTCGATACATTTCGCATAATGTTTTTCATATTTTCTTTTTCTTTTTCAATAAAATATATATACTTTTTATTGATAGTCATGTTTTCATTAATACTCTGATGTTTAGAGGTTTCAGGCAGTCAACCTTCTATTGGCGGCAATACTACTCTTCTCATCATTTAAGATGACGATTCTCATTATTCAATATTTAAGTACTTCTTACTTGCTTGTTATAAGGCTTTCTACATTCATGTTTGTCAAGAAAACCTATGTACACCCATTATATGTTTAAGATATACTTTTTTGTGGATGTTTTTTTTTTCATGTTGACAATTATAGTTTTGTTTTCAGAAGATGTTGCTAGTTTCATGTGTCCTTTTTAAGTTCTAGTTTCTAAACCAGCTATATTGATTACGTCGTACTTTTGTCGAAAATTTTGGCAGTTGATACCTAACATTCATGTTTACTACTGAAATTTTAGTTCAAAATTAATCATTTGATTTTAAATTATTATTGGTAACGTAAGTTATTATGAATGCCAAAATTGAGACTTCTGGTACAAAAAAGATGTGAAGTTCTATTTTTTATGAAAAGTGTTAGGATGTGATTGTCAATTTAATGCATTATATACCATGCAAACCTTACATTTGAAAACATAATATTCTCTGACCACCATTGTTTTTATTCAGATTTTAAAGTGAAGTGGTTTTTATTCAAATTTTATCTACTTGAGTTTGAATTATATTGATTATCGAAGAACATAGTGTTCTCTGACCACCATTGTTTCTATTATATTGATAATTAGGTATATGAATTTGATCTGTCTGATTTTTTTCCATGTGAGTATAGTATAGTAGGTTCGGAAATATGGATCTGGTCTTGATTACAAGTTATTTGAATTATCTTTATTGTAAATTGTAGGCATACACTATTGTTAAATTTGCAGATGCATGTCTTCCGACATTGAAAGGAGAGGTCGGAATCATTCATGTGCATATGTTGATTCACAGGTAGGAATTAAAAATCTGCTTTAAATTAAGATAATCTGAGATTCTCTTCCCTATCATAATTTTAATAGAATGTAGTATTGTGTGTTGTTGGGTTTTCTACTCAAAGTCGAAGCTCGAATAAGTATTTTTCAAAAGGACTAACAAAGTCTTTAGTTATAGGTGACTGAACTCCCATTCTTCGAATCAAAAGTATGACTTGGCCGTGACGGATTTGAGGGATTTCTTCCTCTAGGTCCCTTAAATGATTATGAGAAGTATGCAGCAATTTATGGATATGAATAAGTTTTAGAGTCTGCTATATTAGAAGCTCATTGTAATTCCATTCCATTAGTTTTTGTGACATTGTTATTGGGTTCCTGTATGATCAAAGTTCTGCATATGTTGAGTACTTGATTCAATTTGAGTTGTTTTATGATGTGGTTATATATTGTAAATTAAATTATATGAATATAGGAAAGAGATTTGTTTGAGTATGAGTTGTTTTGTGATGTGGTTATATAGTGTAATTTGTTTAATATCTATCTAATGTTGCATTGCTATGAACAGATCAGAATATATATATATATATATATATATATATATATATATATATATATATATATATATATTCTGATCTGTTCATAGCAATGCAACATTAGATGTTTAATTTTTTTTTTAAAATTTATTAATTTAGCAGGGGTTATAAACCTCCAAACTCGATTTTAAACCACTGCTATCAATAGTGTAAATGAAACATCAAATAAAATTCACGACGGTGAAAAAATGTTGCTAGCTTACTTTAAAGGTGGTTTAGAACCGTCATGCTTATCTATGACGGTTGGAATGACGTTTTCTAAACCATCACGTTTCTGCCACGGTTGTGGAATCGTCTAACCTGTATTTTACGATGGTTAGAATCGCCATAATCTACCGAAAAAACCGTCGTAACTTGCAGATTTTATTTTAGTGGCTATCCTACTAATAGTGAATAGGTAGTCCCATCCTTGGATGTTTGAGGGACAATCGCGGGTCATCGTACGGTCACAAAGGCAACTAGTAAGATATCTTAGTAATTACCCTAGGGTTTTAAGATCATTTTACCGAGGTAACGTCAAAAGGATCATCGAGGGACTTATGATCTCTTAAACCAAAGGGTATCCACTAAAATCCCTTACATTCAAGAATCGTGACCGTTTATTCAGAAGGCAACAAGTGGGGAAACCTTAGAGGTGCGCGTGTGAAAGTGTGTTGTGTTTCAATTAATTGTCTTTGATGTTTAAGTTTGCTAACGTTTATTTTTAATTCTTGTCATGCAATCCTATTAGACATACATCTAACAGTTCAATATATATACAAGTGTAGAGAATTTAAAGTGCGGAATTTAAACTAACTATTACATGGCTTCGGGGAGGGGGAGATTACAAGTCCAAAACTGAGGGTAAAAACAATAAAGAAATCCTAATTTTAAACTATTATAAACCATGGGCAGGTACAATATTTTAAAAGTAATAATCCTAATTCTAATTGATTAATTAAAAAAAGACAGGTGATTAAAATAACTAATTAAAATTAATTTAATTAATGAAAATCTAAGTCTAATTATTTTTGGTTTGTTTGATTTTATGATGTCTTTTATGAGTTTTTTAATAGGAAAAGAAATTATTGAAATAAAAGAGACAAACGAAAATGAAATAAAGCAAAAAATAATAATAAATGGGACATATGCTACGAATCCAACCATGGTACTGGTTTGGTCTGAAATGGCTCGTAGTGTTGGATCCGAAACTCAAAAGTTCATGAGCCCTAACAATGGCAGAATTGGATTCTTGCGTCAAAACTCAAAGGCAATGGTTCTAAAACAATCCAAGCATTAGTGTGAACCTGTACGAGTGTTTAAAAACAATTTATAACGTGAAAATCAAAACTTTTGAGATTGAGAAATTTACCCAACTGAAGCAACCTCGTAGGCGTATTCTAGCGTGCTTCAATCTACAATAAGGATATTAATGATATCCTTAGAGCTTCAGAAACACGGTGAAAGGCTTGGTTTTGATGAATAGCGGCGAGAATTTTGAGTTTCAAATTTTTTTAATTCTTGAGAATTTTGTGAAAATTTTGAGAGCTTCTCTAGGCAGTTTGGTGCGTGTCCTTTCTTGCTTGCAATGTCATGTATTTATAGAGAGAATAGAGGAGTGTAAACCATCATGGAAAGAATCAAGCCATTAACCATGGCCTTAAAACAAAAAATCAAAATTTGAAAAGTTTCCAAACTTCATGATCCATTGTCGTTTTTGTTTGATTCTTACCCTTTTGGAATTTTGCATGAACCTAGACACTTTCTATGTATATTTCACAAATTACTGGACTTTATGATGAATCAAGCCAAGCCCATATGCACTAGCCCATTAGTTTTCATATTTTATTTGATTTAATTCATATTTAAATGAATAAAAATTCAAATAAATCAAAATCAAAATCAAAATAATGTATGAATAGATTTAGAGGTCCTTGGACATATCATGAGTATGTTTGAACTCCAAAAAGTTAGGCCCAATAACTTAAAATCACAAATTTGCTCAATTGAGATTTCATGCATTTTCTTAAAAATTTCCCAACTTGTGCACTACATAACTTGCTCAAATTTCATCTTTTGAAGATGATCTTTTACTTTTTGGAAAGCCCAAGATGTCCTCTAAACTTTCTCCTTTAATTATTTTTGCATTTGGAGATATTATCTTGATGTAAGTTGCCTTGACATAAAGTGTCTTTTGTTGACTTTCTGAAAATGACATGTAATGTACGAGATCATATCTTTCAAATGATGCATCTTTTGGACTTTAGAATAAAAGAAAAGTTGTATGGAATTGAATTTTCTTAAAAATGGGATTTATTTGGGGAAAAGTTGATGAATAATGTTAAAGTTATGCCTGGTCAAAGTTCAGTTGACTTCTCCTAAGGGAACCCTAATTTGGAAATTCTTGACTTTTGATGATCTGAGGACTTTCCTTGAGGAATCATGATCAAATCTTGATCAAATGATGAATATCACTGTAAAATGTTGAGGTTGACCAAAAATCTTAAAGTTTGACTGTATATTGACCACATTTGACTTTTTGACCAATATAGTTAATTTTCAAACATTTGAGCCATTGATTGAGCAAACTTGTGATGCAAGGCATGAAACTTGGCATGGATATTCTTGAGGAAATATTAGGAACCATGGAAATCACTTGAGGCCTTTGAGACTCAAATTTCTTTGTGAAAAATGAAACCCTAGTTATGAGATCTATTGCTTAGGAGGAGAGTTTGTCTGGTCAATTCTTAGTCAACCTTGAGCATTTGGGGACCTCTATGAGTATGTATTGAATAAAATGAGAGGGAAAATTTTGGGGTACAAAACCAAGGATCAATGCTATTCTGGAAGGTGAATCAAAGCAAGAAATTCTGAATTACGTGACGCGTAGAGTCAGAGTCCAAAACTAGGTCACTATTGATGTTCCCTCTTGCATTCATATCTCAAAGTAATTTGTGTTTTGTTAATCTTTTCAAAAATCTTTCACTCTTCCCAAGGTGAATGTATTGATATTGTATGGGCTTATCTGTTGCTTTGATCTTGAAAATCAATAATAAAAGTTGTCTTTGATTCCCAAATTGTGTCTTTATTTTCTACTTTTTTCTTGTAAAATGGTAATCAGAAAAAAATCCTTTTAAAATAAATAACAACTGTAATTAAATCTATATAATCACTTGCTATATATGTCTGTTTCTAAAAACAATCATAAATTATATGTGCAGATTAATTTTAAAACTCGTTGAATACAATGACTATGCACCCTCTCCCAACTTTTAATATCCTGCCTATATGGCCGACGAAGAAGACTATGATGAAATCCCAGAAGAGTTTTTATGATTGCTTGACCGTGAGGAAAGTACCATTTATCCATATAGAAAGCCATTGGAGACGAATAATTTGGGTTCAGAGGAAGATCTGAAAGAAGTCAAGATTAGAGCACTGCTTCATCCCGATGTGAAGAGCAGGTTGATTGAATTGTTGAAAGAGTATGTGAACATATTTGCTTGGTCATACCAAGACATGTTGGGGTTGGATACTATTATTTTGGAATATCATTTGCCGCTAAAACCAGAATGCCCGCCAATCAAGAAGAAATTGCGTAGAACTCACCCTAATATGGCAGTGAAAATTAAAGAAGAAGTTTTAAAGAAGATTAATGTCGGTTTTCTTGTGACATCAGTGTACCCTCAGTGGATTGCCAATATTGTCCCAATACCAAAGAAAGACGAAAAAGTTTGCATGTGCGTTAATTATAGATATTTAAACAAAGCTAGTCTAGAAGATCACTTTCTATTGCCACATATTGATATGTTGATTGATAGTACAACAAAATTCAAACTATTCTCGTTCATGGACAAATTTTCTAGATATAATCAAATCAAAATGGCTCATGAGGACATGGAAAAAACAACGTTTATCACACCCTGGAGAACATTCTGTTACAGAGTGATGTCCTTCGGGTTGAAGAACACTGGTGCAACATACCAGAGGGCTATGACAAGCCTATTCCATGATCTGTTGCACATGGAAATTAAGGTATATGTTGATGATATGATTACGAAATTCCAGACTGAAGAAGGGCATATAGAAGATTTTTTGAAATTATTTCAATGTTTGAAGAAGTATTGTCTCCGCTTGAATCCAAATAAATGCACCTTTGGTGTCCGATCAGGAAAATTATTAGGTTTCATTGTCAACTAAAAAGGAATTGAAGTTGATCCTGATAAAGTTAAGGCAATTCAAGAAATGCCAGCACCAAGAACTAAAAAGTAAATTAGAGGCTTCTTTGGACGGTTGAATTACATTTCTCGATTTATTTCCCACATGATTGCAACGTGTGTACCTATCTTTAAGTTGTTAAAGAAACATCAAGGTTGTGTATGGACAGATGATTGCCAAAGGGAATTTGAAATTATTAAAGAGTATCTGCTTGAACCTCTTATCTTGCTCCCTCCTGTTGAAGAAAGACCATTGATTACATATCTGACAATGTTAGATAACTCTATGGGCTGTATTTTGGCACAACAAGATGAAACAGAGAGAAAATAATATGCCATTTATCATCTCAGCAAGAAGTTTACTAATTCTGAGTCGCAATATTCTATGCTGAA